TGCTCCGAGCTCTGTCCAGCCTGGTCTGGAACACTTCCAGTGACGGGGCAGACAAAGCTTCTCTGTGCCAGTGTCTCACCACCCTCACAGGAAAGAATTCCTTCCTAATATCCTGTCTAAACCTTCTCTCTTGTCAGTGTGAAGCCATTCCCCCTTGTCCTGTCACTCCAGGCTCTTGTAAACAGTCTCTCTCCTGTAGGCTCCTTCAGGAACTGGAAGGCCACAATTAGGTGACCCCAAAGCTTTCTCTTCTCCAGGCTGAACAATTCCAACTCTCTGAGTCATTCCTTGTAGGAGCAGTGCTCCATCCCTCTCTCTAATCAACTTGGTGCCTCCTCCGGACTCGCTCCCAACAGGACAATGTCCTTCCTGTGCTGGGGCCAGGACCTTGTTCCCTCTCCTGCTACCTGTGTCCTGCTGGAAATCACAACCATGGCTCCCAAGCATAAGACACAAGGGGAGTAGTGTGGAGCAGAAGGAAGTTTCGCTCAAAGAGAGCTCCTGCTTTCCATCCACCCTGAGCTGCAGGAAGCAGCACAAGTTTGTGTTTATATACTGGTGGATGCCATACAGCATGAAGATGACAGCAATTAACCCACCTTGTACCTGGAGGTACAATCCCCTGGTGGGACTTCAAAGCCAAGTAGATGTGGCACCTAAGGACACGGTCTAGTGGTGTTCTTGGCAGTGCTGGGGAAGGGTTGGACTTGATGATCTTAAGGGTCTTTTCCAACCCAAATGATTCTATGATTTGACACAAACCACACAAGTGGAGCATGAGAAGCCCTTACCCTGCCTCAGAGCGAGTGTCACTCCCCCAGCTCCACCCAGACCACAGCCTGCAGGGCTGGGACAGTTGTGATAGCTGGAAATGGGAAGACTGAGAGGAGCTGGAGGCAGGGGAAGGTTTTGGAAGAGCAGCAGGTTCGGAGCTCCACCTACCTGCAGTACTCTGCGAAGGTCAGCACGTAGCACTTCTCCTCGATGCAGGCAACACTGTTCTCATCCTGGTGTCGGGATGCAAAGATCTCATTCTGCAAGAGAGGGAGGAAAGGAGGAGCTCACCCACTGGCCAGGAGCCCCAGGGAGGCAGAACTGGGCACCTTCACCCACCACCTTAGTGGAGAGTCATCAAATCATGCTTATAGTAAAAACTCTTTAGAGCTAATATACCACATAATCCAGACACCTTCCAGGTGTTTTGGGACCTCTTCATAGTGTGCACTAGAATTTTATTGAGCAATGGGTAAGTAGAGCATTGAGTCTCCCATCATTTAACACACTTTGTGAGGCCAAGTGGCCAAAGGCCACATATATTTCCAATGTTACACGACATTCCAGCAGCAAGGCCATGGCCAGCTGCACCCCTCAGCCTCCTCTTTCCTCCTGAATTCTCTAATCCACCTCTATAGAAAAGCTGAAGGAATCCCTCTTATCCAATCCTTTCTTTATCCCAATTCCATTAAAAAGGCTGGTGCAGCGAGAGAAGTCACAACAGCCTTTCTGAATGATGGAATAGACTCCTGGAATGGTTTAGGTGGGAAGAACCTTAAAGCCCATCCAGTGCCACCCCCTGCCATGGGCAGGGACACCTTCCACCAGCCCAGGTTGCTCCAAACCCCATCCAACCCAGCCTGGAACACTTCCAGGGATGGGGCAGCCACAGCTTCTCTGGGTAAACTTCTCTTCATTTTTTCCCAGAGTAATTTAGAGAACTTGGCTCTGCAGCAGGCAGGATTGGTTAGATATGAGGCAACCCAGACAGAGCTCTTGGAAAGAATTCCAGGAGTGGTTACAGCAGTAGAGATGATTTCTGGGAATAAGGATGCCCTGCACAAGTCTGGAAGCATTCCCTGCAGGCTCCATTTCTGCTCCCAGCCCCAAGGAAGGAGGCTGGAAGGGAAGACTCCCAAAAGGGTGACCATTTGGGGACAGGGTTGACCAGGGACAGAGAGAATGCCACACCTTGCTCCTGCACTTTGAGGTTTTGGTCTGCTGCTTAAATCAGAACTTCCTGAGTCATCTCTGGCAAGCCTGGCCCAGCCCTCAGCCCAAGCACTCTCTTGTTTGAAGGTTTGTGTAATTAAGCAGGTGTGCAAAAACCTTGCTTAATTCCTCCTGGCACTGCCCCTGCACTGAAATGCAACTGGATACAGTCACACACCATTATAAGGTACCACATGCTGGTTCAGAAATTCACCTGTGCTCTGCAAGCCAGGCAGGTACAAGTCCCTGGCTGCTCCCCAGTCCTGCTCTCACCCCCTTCCTCCCTTTTTATTTGATAAAGGCACCAAGGATTTTGAAATGGGGTTGAAATAGTAGCAAATTTTCCATTCCCAGTTAAAACCAGCTTGTTCTGTCACCCCCCTCACCCCACCCCCCCAGTAAAGCAAGGCATGAAGTCACAGTGATTCACACAGTTTTCCTTTAAAAAGCAACTCCATTATCCTGGCACGGCAACCTTGAGTCAGACTTTAGTTCTCATCACAAACCTATGCAGGGCAAGGATGATGCATCCACACTTCTCCACAAACCCCCCAGTTTTTTGGCATTTAAGAAGCAAATTAAAGGATTTATTAAAAGGCAGCACATGATCCAGGCACTCCAGCATCCTGCAAAACAGCAGCAGGAGCTTTTGCATGGAGCTCTGTATTCTGAGGGAATAAGAATTTCCTTCTGGAACTGTATCTGATCTTGAGTCAGTACAAACTCACTTTTCCTGACTCGTAAGGTAATGGCCAAAATGACTTTTCACTCAATACATGGAATTTTCTCAGATTAAAGGGAGAAACACTAAAATTCAGCAGAGGTGACCACGTAAGGAATGCAGCAGCTTCTGTTAAGAGCCTAGAGTTTCTCCACAGGACAAATGTTTGGGAAAACCCATCTATAAGACACCACCAGTCAACACATCTGGTAACAGCTGTACCACAGCCAAGAGACAGCTCCGTTTTACTCAGTTTGAGGCCACCCAGGAATGCAGGGAGATGCTTAGGGTAATCCACCCTTCCTGCAGGAATACAGACACAGCAGGACACCCTCATCCCAGATCCAGACTCACCTGGTGCATGCTGGGGTTGCGGCCGCCCTGAGTGTGCTCTGGTCTGTAATACCACAGGAGGCTCATCATCAGCTCCCCTGCAACAACATTCATTAAAACACATCAAGCCTCAGTTTTCTTGCAGAGTTTTCCCACCAATTTCCAGCTTCCTCCTGCTGCTCCATCCCTTTTATTCCCACAAGCAGCTGTGAGTGATAAATATTTCATGCTGTATGAGGTGTCCTTTTGTTACAGCAAGAAGCTGCATGAAATCAGTCGCGTTGTTTTTCCACTACACCTTCACCCCCTTCTACTTGAGTTACAACATCCCAGAGAGGTCAGGTACAAAACAAACAAAATCAGAAAAAAAAGTAACCCGAGATTCAAAAATCAAATGTTTCCACCTGGAAAAAGAATCCATTCAGCCCACAAGCTGGAAAAGATGCTCATCCAAAGGTGGGAACTTGCAGGTTCAGGCCAGAATTGCTGACACAATCTGATGACACAACCAGGATAGGCCTTGCCACGCCTTGATTTATGTCTTTTACACATAATTTTGGGCCTTTTCCCCAACTTTTTTAAGCAAGACCTGTACTTTAAAACCTTTGGCACAGCTTCCCTGGCTCAGGTATCACCAGTCAGACACCAGACCTCACCATAAACCCTGACTATTCCCATCACTGCCTCTCGTGGGGTCCCATCGAGAGCTGCTGCACAACAGCCCCTGCTCCCCCCAGCCCCCAGCCCAGATGTTGCACTGGAGTGAACAGCAGCTCCCCAGATGTCTGCTGCAATGAAATAATAAGGGAGATCGTTGCTAAGACAGGCACTTGGCAGACATTATGTGCTTTCACATCCAGGAAGATTTCGATTATCAGTCCCAGACTAGTGATTAAAGAGCATTTCAGTTCCTGCAACAATCCAAAAGGAATCTGTGCAGCCAATCTCCTCCTCTCCATCACCCTGGTACCCTAACAAGTTTGCAGATCCATCCCTTCCCAGCTTACAGCTCACTCAGTTGAGCACACAGGCAACACAGACTCTTCTGGCACAGTACCTGTTTTGGGGTCTTCCCACAGTGCCGATATCTTGGCGACGTAGGGCATGGATTTCTTCCGGGGTCCTGATTTCACCAGGACAGTGTCTCGCACCCGGATGATCTCCCCATCCCTCTCCACAGCCTGGTAGCTCTTGCGCACAGCAGGCTCTGGTTCATTCTGTACACACACACACAAACAACCTCAGTGAACAGGCAAACACCAACTTTATGCTTTTCCACCCCAATCCAAGACTCCTTTTTCGCCACTGTGAATTCAAACTGTGCTTAAGCCTACTTAGTGCTTCCACTCCAACAGATCTCTGAGAGAAGTCACACAGCCTAATACCACTGGTGGCACCTTTATTCCCACCAGGTTGGTTTGTAACAACAAAGATCAGGTCAAATGAATGCCTCTGTCGGTGAGTTTGGCGTTCACAGGTAAAGGAAGGTCACTGAGGACAGCACCCCAGTGCTCCAGGCCACATGTTTCAAATAAAGCAGAACTCAACTGCTTCTCCTATGTAGTGCTGGCAGGGAGGAGCATCTCACCACTGTGACAGTCCTTACTCTGGGATTAATACCTTTACTTGAAATTAAAACACATTTGCTCCTTTGATTCTATGTGCAAGAACACAACCTTCAGGAAAATCACCTTTTTACCTTCCCATATGGAGGTCTGCACATCTTTCACATTCAAAGGCATGGAAAACTAGTTGTTTTGAGTGCTGTGTGTTTCTCTGGTACAAACATTGCAAGAAAACAAGTACAACATGAAACATTTCCCATGGAGAGGGCAGGGAGGCCATGGCACAAAGCTTTCCTTAGTGGGATTGCTAAGGTTTCCTTTGTACCCTCTGACACTACAAAACTATTGTTTTTGGCCTATAAACTGGGGGTTTGAGCTTATTTTTGCTTTGAAAACTCCTGAGCAGGATGGTTTAACCTCCTGCCAGATCTCCCAGGCAGGATTGGAAGCATCTTACGGACGTAAGGAGATTAACAGTGCACTGTTCCCTTGGGGTGTCACAGCTTGGGTGATGGATGCACAAGGCCTGTCTCCAGCCTTCATGCACTTCATCCTGGCCCAGCCCTTGGCACCTGCACCCAGTGCCAAGAGCTGAAGCTCCAAAACCTGCCCTAGCTGATGCTCTCAGCAGCTCGAGGTTGTACCACTGCACCAAGCACAGATCCTGCCTGGACCACAGCTCTCCCTGCTGCTGACATTTACTGCACACCAACACTCTACTCTGTCCCACCTTTCCAGCCCATAGCTCTCTTGTATTTAATAAGATGAAGGATATTGCCTTCTCCTTCAATTGAAGTGGACTTGACTGGAGTTAATTGAATTCTCTGGCAGGAAATCTCCCATCTTGCAGGAGGCAGTCTCAGTCCCTGAACACAACACATGGGGAAGTACAGACAAGAAATCCCCAGAGGAGTGACCAGCTGTGCTACCATGTAACTTAGAAGAAAGGGGATTTTGGGTGCTAGAAAAATTCCACCTGGAAACCAGGGTATTGTCTCAGATCTATGTGCTCTGGGAGATCCCTGTGGGGCTACAGACACCATCAGTGAGAAGAACCACATTACAAGAGCTGCCTTGAGACCTGCTCCTTATAATGAGGCTAAAACCTCCCTCGCCTTCTCAGGCATGTTTGCCCTACCCCAGGAGGAGGAAGTCAGAGGATGATCCCTGTAGGATGGACTCTCACGTGCCACAGGTGCCACCCCTGCAAATGCCGGAGCCGGGAGGATCCATCATTGTGGCATTTCAGCTGACACTAGCACAGGAGCAGCAGGTTCTCCTCCCTTCCCAAACCACCTGCCACGCAGTGAGGTAATACCAGGGCGCACAAGAAGCAGCAGCTCAGCCTCACAGCCCAGCCCCAAGGCACTATTTGCTGTTCCAATTGGGAATTTCTCCGAGAGGTTCTAGCTGGCACCCAGTGACTACCTCCAGCTTGAAGCAAGACCCAAAACTCTCCAGCCTCACTGAGCTAAGAGCCCTGAAGGTGCACAAACAGGCAGAGCCATACCCATCCCAACCCAATCCCCCTGGACACCTACCACGACGTAGACAGCCTTCTCACAGGCCGTGCCCACGGGGATCCAGCCGTTGGTCGCTCTGCGCCTGCTGATCCGCTGCTGCTTGGGATGGGAATGTCCTCCTGCTGCTTTGCTGTCGGAGGCGTGGAGGCAGCCCGGAGTGTTCCGCAGACCGGACTTGGAGCCGCTGGGAGGCTTGGAGCTCTGTGGACATTCTCGGGCCATGGTCTGAGGGTCAGAGTTGGGGGTCTGCAGGTGAGGAACAGGTTCTGCAGCCGGTGGCACGCTGGGGACAGGACATCCTGAGAGCGGGTGGGCGGGCGACGCGGGGTGCCCTGCCACTGGGATTGTGAGGTTCAGCTGGTCCAGAGACTTGCAGCCTTCTACCAGAGGGGAAGAAAAGAGACATGGATCTCATGTGAAACAGAAAGCAACTACACAAGCAAAACATTACTTTTCCCCAAAATTCCCTTTATCGCACGACAGCAGTAAAGACTCTCCACACTGTAATTTCATTTTGCACTGTCACTGGAAACTGAAAGCAAAGGCATTTCTGAGCCTGCGTGCTCCAGTGCTGCTGCCGATGACACTGCACCACAACAAACCCATCTGAATCCCAAGGAACGCCAGCCAAGAATACACACAAGGCTGGCCAGTGTCCAAAGCAGTTCCAGCCTGTCAATATGTATAAAAGAAATAAGAGGCTTATGGAAACACTGGGAAGGATTAAATCACACTAGCAGAAGCAGCCAGCTTCTTTCAGAAAGCCAAATTCTGCTAATCAGGGAAAAATGAGAAGATTCTCCAAATTAAGACCAGAGAGATGAAACAAGGTGGAACACAAGTACAAGATGATGCACACTGCTGCCCTCAGCAAAACTGTGTCCCTGCAGCAGGCACAGGAACCACAACAGGTTGGAATTTGGCTGACACTGCCTCTCGGAGCATCCCAGAACACCTCACTCCGCTCAGGAGTCACAAACAAGCCTCAACCCAGGCCAGCACGGCCGATGGAAGAGCCAGTTGGATTGGAACTACGTCCTGTCAAAAGCTCCTGGACCAATATCCCTGCTCCCTAAACGTGAGAGTGTGCTTTTTGGAGTGACCAAAGGGCAACTTCAGGAATGTCTCCCGACTGGAGGGTGTCCTAGCAGAGCTGCCTACGAATCTGAGTGAAAATCCATCTGAAGTCACCAAGCTCCAACTGAAAGTCTCTCACAGAGACAGGAAGTTGTTGCCTCCTGCCTTCCCCTCCCTAAGGGGCTGGAATGAAGCCACAATGGATCTGTGAATGTGAGGGATGCCATGGATGATCACTGTCACAGACCCCAAGCAGCAAACACCCCAGGAACACCCTGAGAGCACCTAGACCACAGGATGTGAGTGAAGGCAGGCACAGGATCATGAAGCAGGGAATCACCTCTGGAATGTTTTGCTTACCAACACAGTTTTCAAGCTTGAGCTAAAATAGGATGAAGCTTCACCAAAGTATCTACTAAGTTTCAGGGCAGTGGCACAGAGCTGGCCTTGCTGGCACCCCGGGACTCCTTCCACACACTTCCAGGCTCTCCAACAGTGCTGGAACTAATGCATGTCTCACAGCCGGTCCCACCTCATCACCACCACCACGCTGAGCACAAGTGCCCAAGATCACAGTCACAGCCCAATCCCTTGATTGGTACCACTCAGACACTGATACTCCCATACAAACACACCCAATCAGATATAACATGGCATGAGGAACATCAAGCTGGATCCCTCACACCACGGCTCTCAGATGGGATCATGCTGCTTGCAGCTAAAGTGCTCCTTTAGTTCACTAAAATATCCCGCTCCAGGAAAGGGAAATATCTCAGAGGCACACAATTATATAAAAATCAACTCCAAAGCACAAGTCCCTGTGAATATTCTCTGAGACCTCCTTCACTTCAATCCACAAACCAAAGCCTAACCGAGTCCGATGTTGTAAGCTTTCAAATGCAAGTTGCTCACGGGAAGAAAATCAGTCACAGCAAGGAAGATCTCAGCAGTAGGATGACACACTAATAAATACCCATTCCTGGAGCTGCTGTTGCCCCTGCCAGCACTGTGAGGAAACACTGACACCGCAGGGAGGGCTGAGCTCCAGGAAACCCTCCATCTGCACCACCTGCATCCTCCTGGCTGCACAAAATCAGAGGCACCAGCATGCAAAATTTGAGGAACAAAGTAGACTGGTATGACCTCGGGGCACTACATGAAACTGTCAGGCAAGAACACACTGCTGAGCTGGTTGTCTTGTGAGCATTCAACTTTAAAGAGCTCTGAAGCCACCAGTGAACCCTTGTCTGGCTGCTGCCGTAGGCAGCAGCACCATTTTTTTTGGGAAAGAGAAAATTATACTTCAGCCAAACACTCCTGAGTTTCACAGCTTCCTACAACAGGAGACGACAAAGCCTTGCTCGAACCAAAGCTCCATCCACCTACCTGAAAATCTGTTTTCAGTGGGTAAGTCATGCCAGCTTTGGGCTGGAACACGTGGTTAGCAGAAAGATCCAAGGCTGACACTCCCAGCAGCTGGAGAAGCAGCCTCCTCTACAGACCAGCTGTTGGCAGACAGCAGCACTGTCCAGCCTGATGGCTTTATACCAAATACTGGTGTCTGATAACACAACACTCCACTTTTAAATATTTTAAAGGATATTTTTCAATAGCAGAGGCAAAGCTCTGAGGCAAAGCACAAAGTCTGTAAAGCAGGAAGGAGACAAGAGGGGAGCCAGGCAGGGAACAACACTGCTGTACACTATCACCTGTCCTCATTTCAGTGGTTCATTTTCAGACATTGAGAGCAAAGATGGGACCAAGACTTCCCAAACTAACAGTGTGCCCACAGTGAAACTCCAGTGTCTGCCCAAACAGCAGCCAACTGAATCCCTACACAGCCCTGCCAGCTCTGATCCAGGGAATGGGAAAAGCCTGCATCCCCCTAGCTGGCACCAGTACGAGTCTAATAGCAGAGGCAACTCCTGCTTCTTCACATGCTCTGAGAGAATGCTTCAGTCCCCAGAGGGAGATTTCAGGATTGGAGGAGTCACCATCCCGGTGTGATTCCGACACAGCAGGGCATCGAGGAGCCCTGCAGAGCTTGTAGGAACTAAACCCCACTCGTTTCACACAGATCAAAGCTCAGCGTTAGCTCCAGCATGACAAGTCATGAATCACCTTCTCACTGCCCAAACCCTTTCACCGATTCTCTGCTTTCCACACCAATCAGACCTTTCAGCGGGCTAAAAACCCTCCGGGCTAAAAACGGGGAAAGGGGGAGTGGAAGGCAGATTCTTTCCAAGGCGGAGCCGAGACACCAAGCGCAGAGGGAACTTGCCTCCTGGCAACCAGACACCGTGCTGAACCAGCCCTCTTCTCCCAGGAAAGCCGACCGGGATTTGCTTGCACTTTGCACCTTACCTGCTGCAAAAGGCATTTTGTAGGGGTAGCTGTTCCGTCCCGCGTGCACAGTGCCCATCCTGCCCTCGGGCACGTGCACCACTCCGCACAGGCTGTAGCTGCTCACGGCCGTGCCCTCTCCGCAGCAGTAGGGAGAGCTGCACCAGTGCAGCGGCTGGAAATGAGCGCCTGACGGCAAGGAACCCGGAGATACCAAGAGCCCCTCGCAGGTGGCAGCCTGTGACAGCTCGTCCTTGGGGTAAATGGAGCAGGGAGAGTAGCCACTGTATCCACTTTGGCCATAATAAACGTAAAACCCATTCAACGGAGTCAGATCCGAGGATTCATAGAGACAACCACAATCCGCGTGATTCCCGGGCACGGGCAAGGGAGGGAACTGCTGCACGGGAAAGGAAGGCTGATGAAATTCCTGTTTGGGGGTTGGGGATTTCTCTCCAGGTCTTCCATACTCCGGTTTCATGGATGCTTGGCCACCCATGAGCAAAGGCAGTCTGTGGTAGAAGCCCTCTGTGCTAGCGTAGGAGCCAGACAGTGACTCGTAGGGGACAGGCTCCGCTGTCCCATAGAGCCTGGAGGAGTCTCGCTGCTCCCCCTTCCCAAACGTGCCCAGGGCCTGGCCTTGCCAGCCGTGCTGTCCATCCATTTTTAAGCTGGCCACTTCCTTCTTGGATTTGACACAATTTTTCCTACCAGTTTTGGCCCATTTGAGTGTTGATTTCGAACAGTGGTTCTCAGATTTGCCCTCTGCGTCCGATTTACTCCTCTGCTTCAGGGGTTGGTCTTTCTCATGGGTCAGCTTGAGGAAGGCCACAGCATTCAGGCTGGCCAGTCTCTTTGGGGTGGGATGATAGGAGACGGCACCGTCCTCCCTCTTTGTCCCGTCATCAAAGACCTCATCCAGTGAATGCTCACAGCTATTGCATTTCTGACTGGGCTCGTGCCGGTTCTTTCCTTTCCCTGTTTTCACAGCTGGCTTTTTCAGGACAGGACAGCTGTCACCAGCTTTGCCCTGCAAGCCCTTCAGGGCACAGTCTCCACCAGCTTTCACGGAGTCCCTCCGGAAGCGCCTGCCGGATAACAAGCCATCGTCCCGTTCGAACAGCAGGTTGTTCACCGCCTCTGCGTTCAGCGAGGCCAACCGGCGCTTCCTGGGCTCCGAAGGAGCAGGATCAAGGTCCTGCTCTGGCCCTGGATAAGTTATTGTGCACTTCTCCCCAGATGAATCACTCTTCCCCGCTCCCACAGGCTGAACTTGTTCGGAGAACAAGGCAGATCCCAAACCCTCCATCCAACTGGGAAGGTCCTTTTTTTTACAACTCTGGGTCTGCTTGGACAGAGACCCAGCCACATCCTCCAGCCTGGTGAGGAGTACCTTGCAGGTCTTTTTGTTCACCGAGGGGAGCTGACGTCTCCGCAGTGGGTACGTCTTTCGCACCTCACGCAAAGTCTTGCTCTTGTTAGTCCCCACAAACCCACTGGGACAGTTTGGAGCCTCAGAGGCATCTCTGTCCCGCTGCTTGCTGCACTTTGCGCCGGCCCTGTCCATCCTCCTGCTGCCTGTTGGCAATGAGGCTTGGCCAGCAGAACCAGCTGGGTGTTTCAGGAGGAAAAATTGTTTCTTCCGGGCATGCGTCATAGGATCAATGTCCAATCCTGGGAATGAACAGAAGAAAACTATTAATATGGCTGAGAGGGACCCAATTTCCTCACAAGGCACCAATTAGGAAATATTTGGGGAAGGCTGTTCTAGACACAGCAGAGTCTTGTTGGGTGATGGCCAGTTAGGCCAATTAAGAGCCAGGATGCAATTAGATGTGGTTTAATATTAAGACATAAAACATGATAGTAACTAAAAGCAAAGGGGTGATGGCAAATGCCACAGCAGCTGGGAAAAGCCGGGTCCGGGCAGAGAGCCCTTCTGCTCCCTCTCACACTGATGCTGCTCCTAAAATGTTACAAATTCTCATCAGATCTGCACACTGGTGCAGGGCAGAGGGCAGAAATAAAGCCCAGGCCTGTGACTGCCTGCATGTTGATACAGGCAGGCTGTTCCAGTGGCGATTTGCGAGACAATTAGGCAAAAGAAAAACAACAAGTCCACCTACTCAGGTGAAAAGAAAACTTGGGCTATTAAGCAGAGACCTGCCAACATTAATAAATGAAATACATGCAAATCCCTGTGCAGGTTGGAACCTGGCTGCCTGCTGCTCTTGTCGTACCCTACGCTTCTGTGTTATAGAAGCTGTGGACATTAAACACCAAATCATGACTGGCAGAGAGGCCTAGAAGATACATCTATAGAAGCAAAAAGAATTACTCCACTGTCATTCCCAACTTTTCACCCAGGTGCTATGTCAAGTCACTGCTCAACCCCAACCCAAATCACTAAAATATAGAAAGAAAGGTAAGATCTGCAGCTGGAAGAGGATTCACCTCACTGAAGGCATGGTGGAGTGAACCGGCACTCTAAGGAAGCTAAGGCAGACCAGGCAGGTTCAGCACACCTGGACCTCCCCAGCCAGGTGGAATATTACAGGAACTATCCAGAAAATTAACCCTGATTTTGGTTTCCACGCTCCATTTTTAGCAGAAGGGTCACTTTTCACTCTTGTATTTCAGCTTCAGTGAGTGACCCACAGCAGGTTGGTGTCAGGTATTTGAGGAACTAAGGAATTCTGCAGTCTGAAGGAACACAAATTCCTGTAAGAAGCTAAGACAGGATACAGGTGAGTGATACCAACCTATACCCATTAAAAATGTCACCCTAATTGAGTGATAGTGGAATAGATTCAATTCAGCCTGTCTCTGAGCATCCGAAACAGCAGAAAAGGACAATTAATTGCATTTAATGGCATTTAGAAATAGTCAAATTCCATTTATTGGCACCAAAGAGTAGATCTTCATATCAGCACCCACCTAGGAAGGGTTTGCTCTTCCCTGCAATCAGGTATTGGGCTGGAACACCCTCAGTTGACACTGGTCTGCCAGTTTTGAGGCTTTTAATTAAAGCTCCTACTGCTTTGGCAGTGATTAGAACAAAGCTCCCGAATTACAAGAACTGTTCATTTGATATGGTTTAATCAAGCTGATAATTAGATTATCTATTTGAAATAAGCCTGATGTGTTTTAATTGACTTGCTTATATATGCATTAACTAAAGGAAATTCAGGAATTGAGAACCACTGAGGGTTGCATGGTGCTTTTTCTAGATATCAGGCTCTTCCTGACATGGTTTGGGGTGACTGAGTCCTCACACCCTGTTAAACACAGCCATCTCCCAGGGCTGGCGCTCCAATGGGAATGCTCAGTGGACAGCACACATACATGTATGTCCATGATTTTATCACAAGATCAGGCTCTGGGAATTACGAGGATCAAGTCAGAATTTCCTTCAAAATTGGAATTCTTCATGCACAGGGAAGACATGCAAACCCTCACATCCCCAAAGCTCCAAACCCAGGAAAAACTGGAAGGAGAGATCAGGATTTGGTTCTGACCCCTTAGCTTGCTCAGAGATGGACAACACCTTCTCTCTCTCAGAGAGGACACATTTCCTTTGCCTTTCATCAAGAGGGATGTGTCAGGATGAGAAAGAAACTTGGGAGTTAATAGATTCTAGAGGGTAATAGAGCATATGGCAATTCCCAAACAGTGTTTAATCCTGCATCCATCATTCATGCTTCCTAGAGGAGCCTCTCAGCTACCATGTGGGATCTCACCTGAACAGAGGGGCAGAATCCCCCCTCACCTGCTACCTGCACTGTGGGATGAGCCCAGGACATGGAGTTTCTAGGCTAAATGCATCATCAACAGGCACCAAAGAGCTTAGCTATGAAACAAAAAACATCCTTAGCACTCTGGAAGTCTTTCCACACCTCCACAATCACCTACATTACATGTATAGCTTTGGAGGGGGATGCTCCTGCTTCCAGCTCACCTGTGATCTCTTCCCCCAGCAGAACACAGAGACAGAGCTTTTGAACTCTGCTCAAACTCAACTGCCTGACAGGCAAGTGTATCATTCCTCAAAATCAGAGCCCTGCAGAGCTTCCTTCCAGAGAGCACTGTGCTCCTGCTAGCTGGGAAGGGAGAGTGGCAGAGCTCTTCATCCTCTCTCCACTTTTGTATTGCTTCACAAAGCAAAGCAAAGCTGCCTGTGCCCAGAAGCCTCCAGGAAACTACAAGATAACGTGAAGAACTGCAAGTGAAGACACTGAAGCCAGAACCACCCATTTACTGCTCATGGCTGAGGAACTGCATTAACAGTGAGAAGACACTTAGGTGTAACTCTGTTGGCAATTCAAGTTCTAAGCAGCTCAGTCTAACCAGCTGCATCCAAGAACCCATCAAGCATTTTAGAGCTAATTGGAACTGCTGCCTCCTTATCGCATATATAATCCCAGAATGGTTTGGGTTGGAAGGACGTTAAAGCTCATCCTTGTTCCACCCACTGCCATGGGCAGGTTGCTCCAAGCCCCATCCAACCTGGCCTGGAATACTTCCAGGGATGAGACAGCCACCGCTCACAACCTCTGCTAGGGCTTCACTACCCTCACAGGGAAGAATTTCTTCCCATTATCCAATCTAACCCTGCCCTCTGGCAGTGGGAAGCCATTCATTCAACACTCCTCTGGCAACTCCTTCCTCAAACCAGACTAGTTCTGAAAAACTGCCTTCACAGCTGTTAACCCAAACCACACCAGGAGAAAGAAAAATGAAAAACACTCCTTTAATTTTCCGCTAGAATCAAACCACTACCCAAACAGCAAACTCAGAAGAGAGTTGATGCCTCATTAGCAGGAACATAAGCAAGTGTGATAACAGCTGCATGTTCTGTAATCACGCAGCTGCAGCATCTGTCTCTCCCTCTCCAGCACTTGATTGCAAGGGAAATTAGAAGGAACTAGTCTGGGACTACCCCTTCAAGCACCATTTCCTCTCCAGAGCTTCACTACGGAGACGTGTGTGTTCCACAGAGACGATGCCAAAAGCACAGAAATGAAAGCTTTTAAAGCTCCTAATCCATTTGGCACTTCAGTAATACACAAAGAGTTACAACACCAAACCAATCCTCCACCGTTCCAACACCTCTCAGTCCCGTCTGCTTGATTCCTGTCTATCCATTTCTATTGGAACAGCTTAGGCTGTGACAACAGCCTTACAACTGTGAGTATCTGGAGGATTGGTTCCCTTCTTCCTGCTGCGTTTACAGGCGAGTAATTCCCGGTGCTCTAAGGAACGTGAAGCCTCCCACGAGCTCTGGGAAATCCAGATAAATCGCAGCAGCATCGGGAATCCAGAGTGAATTACCCATCACTTCCATCTCATTCCTGTCATTGTTGGAGGCTGCAGTTTGTCTTCCCAGGGTCCAGCCCTGATTTTTCTCCAGAGACCCATCAAAAGCTCCATCATCCACATGCTCCGGGGAAAGCTGTTTATCCAGAGCTCATTAGGCTGCAGAAAGGGCTGTTTTCTCTCCCTCACCACCACAGCCCTGAGCATTGGACCAGAGGAGGTTTAGATCAGATATTAGGAGAGAATTTTTCCCTGTGAGGGTGGTGAGGCACTGGCACAGAATGTGTAAGCTTGGGGGAAGTCAGAAGGTATTTCCTGAAAATCAGTGACAAGGTGGGTTGTTTGGGGAACAACACAACCCCTGGAAAAGCACATTCCTTTTTGGAAAGGCACCATCTCTCCTTCCCCTAAGAAGCTGTAATACACTGTCATGTTTTCAGCGACAGGCTGACACCCAGGCTGAGCAGGCAGCAAATGCCAGAGTAAAATATAAATGTGCCCTCAGCAACTCCAACAGCAGGCATCAAACCCAGAGGAAGCTTTGGAGCCCGTGTCTCTTCATGGATTTGCATTAAAGCAAAGTCTTCACTGAACACCCATGTCCACCACAGACAAAACCACTTCCTATTGCCTCTGAGAACTGCAGATTTCCACCTCAAGAGCTGTCACAAGCCTTTGGCTTGTGACCCCAACAGAGAGCAGAGTTGTTCTGTGCACCCACGGGAAGCTCTGGTCTGTCTGCTGTTGTTCACAGCCTTCCAAATCACACTGTAATCAGGTGAGGTGGGTTTAGCGCACAGACACAGTTTAATACTCACTCTCTGGAGAAGAGATGCAAATATTCATCTCCCCAAAGCTCCAAACACAGGAAAAACTGGTAGCAGAGAACAGGATTTGGTTGTGACCCCTTCGTTTGCTCAGAGATGCACAATACAACCACCTTCCCTCTCTGAGGGGACACATTTCCTTTGCCTTTCAACAAGTTAGAGAGGGATGCACCAGGATGAGAGGGAAACTTGGAGCTAATAGATCCTTGAGGGCGATAGAGCATATGGCAATTCCCAAACAGTGTTTAAACCTGCATTCATCACTTGTGCTTCCTAGAGGAGCCTCTCAGTTGTAGCAGCAGCAGCTCACAGCCACTCCAAAAGCTGGGGCCAGTAGGATTTGGATGTTATTCTCTACACATTGTGCACCAAGTGGTTCAGGGGCTCCAGGGAAAAATAATACACAGCCATGTCACTACAGACATGAAAATGCAAAGGAAATCCCTGGCATTTGGAAGTGCAGGAGGTGAGTACAAGGATGTGGGGGTGGAAATCAGGCTCAGCTTGTCTCCAG